AAGAAAAAGTAATCAATTTAATTTCTTCACACCATCAAGAATCAAAATATATTTAATTTAGCATAACAGCCAAATCGCAGTCAATATATATTCTTGGCTGGACTGATTGATTTCTTGGATTTGTATTTACATTTAAAACAAAGGCTGAGTTTTCTTACATCTAAGAATGAACTTGTTTTTATCTTCTTTTTTTGTCTTACTGTCTCTCTTTACAATGAAAAATCCCTGACATCCACTTTAGAAGTGGCATAAACAGTCTGTACCCACAGGGGGGCTCTAAATGCCAGGCTCTCGTTGCTCCTTTTATGCAACCACATTGACCTAGACACGTAGCCACCACGTAGACTTGGGCGCACACACCCTGACACCAGAATGCCCCACTGCACAACACTTGTCTTCTGTCTGCACTTCAAATGACAAAATACAGGTTTAAATACACTAAAAGATCATTCAAAGGACTCCAAAATAGCTCATAAAGGACATGTTGTGTGACTGCTGTTTGCTTTCTATAAACAGAGCTTCTGTGGCTTTAGAAAACTCCCCATCCTCCACCCATCTTCCATTCCACATTTGTCTTTTCCATAAATCAATATCTGCTGAGAGTGTGGGGCTGCTGATTGTTTTTACAGAGCGTTGCTGTGTAATTTTGTTAAATGGTACTTGCACCCAGTTTACTTTGAGATGGTAAACAGTCTGGCTGGTAAAAAGTGAGGGTGTTGATTCCCCTAGAAGCATACAATCAACATAATTGGTATTGTGGACTCAATGTATTTCATTACTTACCTGGGAGTTAGGCATGATGATAGGCCCGTAATAATAAGTACTATTTTGGTTACAACCAACATTATGGATCATGTTCAATACGGATCATCTTGTCTTACCTAACATGTGGCATGAATCTTTTTGTTTTTCTGTTTGTTTCATATATATTATAGATGTTAGCCTCACATGTGAGACTGCAAACAAAACATATTAACAGGGATTTGCAGACTCAGAGTCTCGAGCTCTTTTTATATAACCCAATAAAGGTTTTACAATGTGTTAGAGCTGCTGCTCTTGCCTCAAACAGGAGTTTTTAAATGGTTAAAAAAGAATTAGCAGTAAATACTTCCACTCTTCAGCTGGCACAAACCAGGTTTTAATCAAAATGTAAAAGTCATTTTCTTCTTCTTTGCGCTCCAATGATGCAAATGTAAAAGTGACGATGATGATCGAGTTTTTGGTTCTTTCTATAACAGGTACCTTTACCAAACAAGTAGCAGCAGGCCTGCATACTTCTGTGTCTCCACTGCTGGAGATGTTGCTCCATAGTGGAGATCCTAGACTGCTTGTTAACAAATGATACAGACAAGGTCACATTTCCAAGCTTTTAAGCATGCCTTTATTAGCTGCGTCTGTTCTGCTCACACAGTTCCTAAAAGACTTCTGGTCCCCGAAGTCCCATTTATGTGAAACGTGAGATTAAATTCATTTAACATCTTTTGAACTGTGCACAAGTGAAAATAATGGACACAAACGTATTTTCACGCATCCATTAATGCACAAAATGCCGACTCAGTGGCATCAAATGTTTCCTGCTGTATCTGTGTTCCATCACAGTACTTTTCCACTGATGCCTCACTCACAATTGCACTGCGCCTGAACCTTCTCCCTCGCCCCAAACCACACTAATCATACAACTCCCCTACGACCCCTCCGCCCTCTTCTATAAATGTAATTTGAGAAATTTTCAATGAAATAACCATGCACTACATTTTATCTCTCTCTCTCACACACACACACACACACTCATGCAGTTGGCCTTTTTGCCATGATGTGTTTGGATGAAAATGTTGCACTGTATCCTGCAGAGGTGGTATATTCCTCAGGGATGATCACTGATTTTGCATGGATTTCCCGGATCCACACAAACCATGTCTTACAAAACTATTCTGTCAAGAGGATGATGAATTACCTAAAGCATATGGCTAATGATAACTTGTATATTTTCACTGGAAACAAATTCCATGGAAATACTCCTGGTTTCATTCCAAACGCCTCCTCTCTCATTGTCCAAAAATGATTCAACACCCACAATCATAAGTGAGTGTGTTGCACTGGATAACATGCTGTTTTACTCTGATTGACACAAGCACTTTTACGTACAGTGTTTTACGTGGGCTCTGGATAGGCTGGCTTGCTGCCAAAAGTTCATAGTATAGCACACCAAAGGTTTATTAATCTACAGCTGGAACTTAACTCTAGTAAAAACAAGCAGTGCTAAGGTGCACGAGGAAATTAACTGGGAAGAAAAATGTAGGGAAAAAAGTGGGGAAATTAAACTAAGAAGAACTGAAACTGTATATCTGTGACTTACTGTAGCCTTTTTTCAAGAGAGTTAGATTTGGTGGCTCAACAGCATAAACAGAAGTATGAGAGGATGTATCTTGTTGAACTTGGACAGTTAGGAATAGTTATTTTGCCCCTTAATAGATTTTCTGCCTTGTGGCACATGCCAGGTCACAAGGCTCATACACTTTAATGTTTTGATTCATTACCCCAGGCAGTAAATGAGTGACTGCACTAACAGGTAAATAGTGCATTAAAGGCAGACAAAATATGCTGGAAACTTCTTATTATCCCCGTGGTGCAAGATTGCCTCTAAACCATCAGCTACAGATATGACCACACATAGACTGACCCCAGGCACTTAAAATCCTACAATGTTGTAAACACTTAATTTAAATCCTTTGTTTGGTCAAGACCAGAGTGCTTGCTGGGGTAATGTCTAAATCACTATTTGCCACTGGGCACCCTGCAGTTAGTGGTGCGCTTGAATTGACTTTGGTATAAAAACTAAATTCCCATCTCAAAAACCATTTACCCTAAGTATGGGTATTCATCAGGTTAAACATGGTGCGTACAACCATGTACAACTGTAAAAACACAGACTCTAGAGTTGATTTTATTAATAAAAGAAGGACATGACCTTGAACGACCCGCCTTTGCCTCCAAAACACCGAGTATACTGTATCCTACTTGTGACTTTCGAATAAATCAAGGTTTGGATATGTGTCACCATTTCTTCCTTTTGATAAAGGCATTGCTGTGAGAATCTCCTAGGTTTTTCCTGCATGCCTGGTTGTAATTAATGTCACCTTTCACAGGGTCTGGACACTGCGCAGTTCAAGGGAAATGATGACTACAAAGGGCTCTTTCAGCAGCTGAGAGCCTTTCCTAGTCTGACCTAAATCTCCTCCTTTTCCGCTCCCCGCGTCTTTACTGCTTCATAGCAGCTACTCAGAAATTCAGCCCTCATTCGGCTTTACGGGGAGCAAAAATGCACATCTGGTCAGGTAAATATACGGCCCTCAAGGGGGAAGTAAAGCTCCAGAGGCTGTCGGCAATAAAAAGCAAAAGGGATTTGATAAGAAGGTGAGAACTTGGATAAAATCTAGGGCTCAATCTAAGGTGGATATTTTATTAAGTTTCTAGATGGTAAACATATAGTCATGTAAGGGGTAAAAATCATAGTTTTCACTGGATGTTTTTTTTCCTCTGTAAGCTGTGCTTTTAACACCTCCCCTCTCTGTTCTGTCATCAGTCTTCTAAGCACCATCTGTACCACTTCCATGAAGTTGCATGTACATGTTTACACTTAGCCCCTAAGGTAAACTGAACCACATTTGCACTGATATACATCATCACACCGCGCCCAAACACTTCAGGGCTACTCCCTGTGCAGAGGAGTACTTCAGTCCAAACCAACCATGATGGGTTTAACATGTGATGCGTCCAGACTTGAACTGATAAAGCGATAAGACAATGAAAGCTTGTATGCAGTGGTAACTACATCCAGACTTTCTACAATCTACGAGGAGACTTTTTGGTTTGCTCTCTGGACAGCGAGTGCTTTAAATGAAAGAATGTGCTTTCAGCTGCTCCATTATTTCCTACGAGGTCATCAAAGTGGATGGATTCACATGGTATGCCAGATGCAACCATCACATTTACCCACACTTATGACCTCCTGAAGCTGGGTTTGTGTCTCCTTTCAGGGTCTCGTGAGGCTCATGAGGCAATGTGTTGACTATACCGCAGCATACTTTAGTATATTAAATGCAAAATTAGAGTAAATGTGAAAACATTAATTTTTCAGTATTCAGGTTTTTTTTAATTGAATTAGACAATAAGTTAAAAAATAGTTTGCTGAGTTTCAAAATAAAGTCACTCATATCTGTCAGAAAAAAGGAAGAACATTTTGCAGAAATATTTTCAGTAAAGCAAATCAGTGTTGCCAATATTCAGTACAGAAAGAAGGAAAACCTTTCAAGTAAAAATGACACATCAATCTTCATTTAGCTTGAATTCTTAATGAATTCTGCTCTCTTTGCTGTGCAAAATTACAGTGCACAAGTTCTTTTAATGGGGCACAAACCAAATGGAAATGTAATTAAAAAATCACAAATAAAACCTTGACTGACTCAGGGTAGAAAACAATGTAACTTACACTGCAGAAACATGATTATTAGCACCAGTAGTAACTTTTGAAGCAATACGCAAGTTCAGTCACATTTTACCTGATACCCAATTTTATACACAATGGTCATCTGCACAACCTCACACAGTAGAGCTAATTGCTAGCAAATCAACCAGGGTGGATGAATGATGGTTACCATGACAGAGCAATGAAAATCATGACAATCTACAGCATAGACGATTTCCTGAAAGATTTTTGTTTTGAATCAAAAAATGAAGCAGTAATGTGACAGAAATCCTTACCCTGCTAGCTTGGTTTTTGTTTCAATCTGTGTATCAAAACTGTTAATTGCCTTTGTTACTTCCCTGGCCTCTCTATTCTCTGTCTGACAGAGGTTATTTGAATGCAACTTTTTCAAGATTTTAAAGCAACTGCTTTAAAAAAAGGATTGGCTTCGGAGGACCGGTTTTTGCCCAAACTTTCAATTCTTCCACCCAACCAAAAAAAATTTTGTGTGAAAAAGCGCGGCGTGTTTTTGAGAGTTTTCATCATAAGGCCGTCAGGTAGTTCAAGGATCAATAAAGGACACTGCAATATAGCGGGTGCCGCCGGTTGTGGGTAGGCCTTCATGCAGGTGAGTCAGTCGTCCCGGGTGCATGAAGCTCCAGCCTTTCCTCGGTGATTCTATGCTACAGTTATACCGATGGAAACGGCAACCCCCTCCCTAAAAAAAGTAAATTGGATTTATAATTGTGAAATAAATCACTGGGTTAACAATACTCATCAGACAGATTATCTAATTGGAAAGCTTAAAATAAAATCTACATTTAAAAAATATATATAACAGCTATAATATTAGTGTGACTTATGCCCCATAATACAAGTCCTTACCTGAAAGTCTATGCCTTTGTTATTGAGAGCAATGTTAATGGTGAAGGTAGAGGAGTCATGGTGGGGCCTCAGGTAGGCTTGTCTCTCAGGAGTGTATTTTACAACAAAGTTCATCAAAGCATAACCCTGTGACAAAAGGATAGAAATGCATTGGCTGACAGTACTGATGTTACCTTCAAATAAAGAATTATGCTTACAATATGTTTCCATTACAATATGGTAATACTATTCTAATATGCGAACCTGTCCACCAGTATTACTTTATTATTATAAGGTTACTATCAAATCTGTACACAAAAATTTAAAATGCATGGATGTCAATTTTATTGCTAGCAAGTTCTGATAGTGTTTCCAGTATAATATTATAGTATTCCTACTAGACATACATACAAAGGCATATGTATGTTTCCTAGTACAGTTTTTAGGGCCACTGAAGATTGGTGAAAAAAATGAGGGACAGGGAATCGTCTCAAAAATTTGCCACTTTAATCTTGAAGATTTGCCTTTTTTTCCTCATAAATAAATGCACCTTATTGTTTTTCTGATCTTCAGCACCCCTAAAACGGTATCATAGTTTTCCCTAGTTTCTGGGTTCTTATTACCAAATGACTTAAATTTCAGTGTCACATTAAATTATTATAAACACTGTTGACACAAGAGATTAGTTGGTTGTTACTTAGATATTACTAAGGGGTAATAACTTAAATTTTCCATATTGGCACCTTTTTCTTTCCACCTTACTACCCCATTATTACCATTATTACCACAATATTAACGAGTGGTAATGGGAAATTCTACCAATTTGTCATCCAATGGAAAATTTGTCATCAGTTGTTAAGATTCACATCAGAATCACAAACATAAACATGAATAGCAGGTCAGCAGCTCATTATATGATTAAACTTTTCTGCTGTTATAACTCAGCTTTTACTAGAAAAAGGTCAGATTCACACAAACCTTTGTGTAATAGCCAGAGAAAACTTTTAAAGTGACAGGTGATATGAACTCTCGGATGAAATGCAGCCACTCTTTCTCAAACCCAATTTGCTTCATGTGAATGTCATCTGTCGGCACAGTCTCATAGCCTCCAGCAATCCGCTTGTCCTGAGAAAAGGAGAGAAACAGAGCACGATGCAGTGTGACTAACGACGGAACAAATGACCCACTATCCTCAAAGTGTGTGTCCGCAGTTTTCAAAGTGATGGTGATTGTGATGATGTGCATGTGTTATTTTTTTTTAAACCACAGGCTGTTCTGTTGTCTGCCTGTATGAGACTTAATGACCCATCCAGCTCAGTCGTCTCTCAAACAGAGTCAAAGTATTTGTAATATATTAATCTCCCTGGCCAACTTTGAGACACTGGGAATTAGACACCATTAAACTAAAACACAGCTGGGGTTTTTTGGTTGTATTCAAATGGCCAACCTTGTGATGACAGCACTAAAATCATTTTTTACTATATGCATTAATCATAGTTGCATGTGTGTAACTTTCTGTGTCATACAAAACATAACTTTGACATTTAAAAGCTAGCAAGCTAACCAAGAATAGTCTGATACTTGTTACATCTGGATGCCATTTAACCCACAAACAGTGAAAGAGTGCTTAGAAGTATCAGCAATAGTTAACTCAGTTAATTTATGTAAACTTTTGGGGTAATTTCAAAAATCTAAATTTCTACTGTATAATTTTAAAAAAAAAATCAATAAACCTTTTAGTCATGCTAGTGGTGTTAGCAAATGGTAGCATGCCCTCACACGATTGTTGTGAGCTAAAGCTGGTGCTGCACATAACCAGCCATAACCAGCTTCACTAGCAGGCTTTTTAATCATTATTAATGATAGGAAGAGTGTCTTCTTGTTTCTGGCAACACACAATGGGTATTTGTCATTATATAACATAAATGAAACCATCAGTTGATGAATTTAAAGTACACTGGTTGTATTTAGCCCTAAAAAACTT